CCTTCCCCCCGCCTTCCCCCCGCCTTCCCCCCACCCCAGTCCCCCATCCACTTCCAGAAAGGGTAAGGCTTCTTCCCAAGGGGAGTCAACTTTGAGGCAGGACTAAGGCCCTTCTTCCTATATCTCAGCTAAGCAAGGTATCCTTCCAAAAAGAATGGGTTCCAAAATCCCAGTTCAAGCACTAGGGATAAATCCTGGCCCCATTTCTTGGCGAACAGTTGGAGGGAAAGGAGGTTCAGAGGGAGTGGAAGGGGACAATAGAGTGTGGTAAGGGATGCATATGATCAAAATATGTTTTATATATATAAATATATATGTGTGTGTGTGTATGAAAATGTCATAATGAAACCCATCGTTATGTATTAATATATGCTAATAAAAACTTAATTAATAAATAAAATATTTCTGTTGGGTGGCACATGCCTTTAATTGCAGTACTCAGGAGGCAGAGGCAGGCAGATCTCTGTGAGTTCGAGTCCAGCCTGATCTACAAGAGCTAGTTCCAGGACACGCTCCAAAGCCACAGAGAAACCCTGTCTTGAAAAAACAAACAAACAAACAAAAAAAACCAAAAACCAAAAAAAAAAAAAGAAAAACAAAACAAAACACAAGTAGATAAATAAGTAAATGTTTCTTTCAAAATTCAGCTTTACTCAGGCGCTCACTGAATATAGCTAATTTCAAGATCAAATATTTACCATATTAGGGAATAACAATAAATACTATTACATACCACATACCAGTCAAAGCGGGAATAGAAATACCAATATATTTCCTAAGTTTTTGTAAATTCACTTACAACATTCTACGATTCATTGACACTACCGAATTTCAAGAATCCTAGCTATAGCAGATATAACAAATGAACAAGTAAAATGAATCCACCCTATCTGCAAGGATACAGTACTTACTCTAAAATGTGACAATCGTCCTAAAGTTAATCTTTTTTGTTGTTGTTCTGTCTTTTAGAGACAGAGTTTCTCTGTGAACTGGCCATCTGTGAACTCAACTGTGTAGACCAGGCTGGCCTTGGAGAAGTGCCTGTGAGTGCTGGGATTAAAGGTGTGCACCCCTACCACCTGGTCTCCTTTGGCTAATCTACACGACAAAACTCAGGTTTAAATGAGATTTACCAAGGGACACATCAGAGAAGCTCATTAAATACAGAAGGCTAGAGAGGTCCATTCTAGGTAGAGGGAGATTTCCCCAGGTGCTCGGCAGCAGTAGCTCGGAGAGCGCTTACCACGTGTTGTTTCTAAGAGTGAAAGGGGCAGCTAAAAACCACTGGAGAAAATTTAAACACTTAAGCTGACATTACATGAAATTCATCAGATAACACCTGGCACATATTCATGAGGCATTTAACAGAGATTCTATCTTCTCTTACGTCTTAAAGGGTGGTGGCAACTTCTATAAAACCAAAGAATGCCGACATAAAACTGCAGCTCATGTCCACCAATGAAGAAGGCGATGGAGAAAGAGCTCTGAGGGGGACACAAATTCAGGTGACTGTGGTGAGCACTAAAGTGAAACCCATGGCCACCTCACCTCTTGACTTTGTCATAGTTCTCTTGACGGTAGTCGCCTTGCTGAACTAACTGTTTGGTGTCTGCCAATTCCAAGGCCAGGCGCTGACATCGGATTTGAAGTTCCGAGTTGTTTCTTCGATCTTCCTCATATGTCTATAAATCAAAGGAAGAATTACACATTTCAAAGTGAACATAGTAGACCAAATTCTGTATTGAATTTTTCTGCTAAGCTATGAAATGACCTTATAACTAAACTAAAACATGTCCAAATTACTTATTTATAATTGTTACTCAAAGATAGGTCATCTTGAATTTACAAGATTGTTTGTACAATAAATCCAAAACTAATTATTACCATGGACTGGTTTGGCTAGATACTGTACATGCAGAGATGAGTACCACAATTTATTCCCTCTTGAAAACACAAAACAGAAAATACAACACTGAAATAGTAGGCTCCAAATTTCCATCAAGAGCTGTTTGAAAGGCACAATTGTGGAAAATCTGAAAACAGTGTTTTGTTTGGTTGAACACCATGGCCTCCTACACTGGAGTTCCTCGTGAGAATGGAAGGCTACTGAGCTCATTATAGGCTTTAGTTGAGAATGCTCTGTACTTCCCAGGGGATCATCCTGTACGTCATTTAATACCTATATCCTAAAAGAAGACTCCGTTCTGCCAAAGCATGCATCATCCTTCTAAACACTATCAATCATATAGCTGTCTTGGGAGAGGGTAAAGTTCTGTGATTTAGGAAGGTGGCTTCCAAAATTTTAGTTCCAACAAGTGAGTAACTTAAAATATAACATTTGTCTAAACATCAGTGTTTACCTCATGGAATTCTTGTAAAGTTTATATCAAACAATACACGTCAAGTGCTTACAGAATTCACAACACATAATGATGCTCATTAACTATACATTTATATGTTTATACTGCTTCCTCTTGGCTTTGACTTCCTGAAGGATCACAGACAAATCTCTAGTTTCTAACTGCACAGAGACTATGACATAATCCAGAGGAACATAAACATGAGGAACAAACATTTAAAGGATTGGTAAAGATAACACGTCCGAGGAACCTGCAGGAATATCAAAGAAACAAAAGGATAGCAGATGTGAGAGTCAGGACCAATAGGAAATGTCACTCTAAGGACATAAGCAGTAAACAGGATAGAACTGAGGAAAAAAGCAGCAAAATTCTGCAAGGAATCAATGGCAGGGACAGAAGACGGAGAAGTGGACACTAAAACAAACGTATCAGAGTGTGTATTATGTCACTATTACTATTACTATTATTATTATTATTATTATTGGTTTTGAGACAGGGTTTCATTATATAGTCATAATTGGCCTGGAATATGCTATGAGGTTCAGACTAGCCTCTTTTTAGCTACTGACTGCTGGGATTAAAGTTATACACCACCACCACCACCAACCAGTATTATTATATACCATCATCACCATCATCATCATCATTATTCTAACATAGGTTCTCATGTATAATCCCATTGCTGACTTTGAGCTCAGTATTTTTCTTTTTTTTAAAAAATATTTATTTATTTATTACGTATACAATATTCTGTCTGTATGCCTGAAGGCCAGAAGAGGGTGCCAGACCTCCTTACAGATGGTTGTGAGCCACCATGTGGTTGCTGGGAATTGAACTCAGGACCTTTGGAAGAGCAGCCAATGCTCTTAACCACTGAGCCATCTCTCCAGCCCTGAACTCAGTATTTTTCTAAGGGTGAACTTAGGCTTCTTCTCCTGATTCCACGTCCACAGTGCTTGGATTTACCATGATGCCCAGTTTATATCATGCTAGGAATTGAACCAGGGGTTCCTGCATACAAGGTTAATATTCTACCAACTGAGCTATATAAATGCCCATCCCATTTTGTGGTATTTTATATACAACAAGGCAGTTTTCTTCTTCCTTCCCCCCCCTCAGTGGGCACACAGATGTATTAAAAACAATTTACTACAGTCCAAAGATTAGCCCTTACCTCAGTGTTTCATGTTCTTTTATTATATATATATATATATATATATATATATATATATATATATACTTGGTTGTTGTCCGGGCTAGTTTTTATGCCAACTTAACCCAAACTGGGGTCACCTCAGAGGAGGGAACCTCAATTGAGAAAATGGCTCCATAAGATTGGGTTGTAGGCTGCTGAGGGGTGGTGGTGCACTCCTTTAATCACACACTCAGGAGGGAGAGGAAAGCAGGTCTCTGTAAGTTCAAGGCCAGCCTGGTCTATAGAGCTAGTGCCAGGGCAGACTCCAAAGCTACACAGAGAAAACATGGCTTGAAAAACCAAAACAAACAAACAACAACAAAGGATTGGGTTGTAGGCAAGCCTGTAGGACATTTTCTTAAATAGTGATTGATGTTGAAGGGACCAGTCCATTGTGTGAGTTCACCCCTGGGCTGCTGGTCCTGTGTTCTGTAAGAAAGGAGACTGAACAAGCCATGGGGAGCAAGCAATAAAGTAAGTAGCATCCTTCCATGGCCTCTGCATCTGATCGAGCCTCCAGGTTCCTGCCCTGTGTGAGTTCCCACCCCGACTTCCTTCAGTGATGAACAGCGATGTGGAAGTATAAGCAAAATTAACCCTTTCCCTCTCCAACTTTGGTCATCCTTTTACACCACAGCAATAGTAACCCTGACTATTCCTAGACAGTTCCTAAAGGTGTGTGTTTTCTACTCCTTCTGGGTCCCTTTCCAACAAAGCCAGTTAAAATAAGCCAAAACCAGAATGGGTACAGGTACGTGTTTATAGTTTCCTGATAGATATTGTCGGGTGTCTCACCTGAGAATTTCCGTTTTCTCTGTGAATGAAGTGCCAGGTGATGTGATGAAGACATGGAAAGCTGGGGATGTGTCGACAGGGAGGAAGGCCTAAAACAGCTTCCAAGGAAAAGAAAGGACTAGAAAAAGAGAGCACAAAGGTGCTCAGTGGGAGCTGGTGATGGAGAATGTGAAGAGCTCACTGCTGCTTCTGTGATTTTCCTCCAGCAACGCTAAGCTGGAGAAACAGAGCTGAGGCACTTGGGCTAGTTTGATGAAAAGAAAATTGAAATCAGAAGCTATCAACAGGAGAGAGGTTGAAGACGGATAAGGCAGCGAAGAGGAAGAACATACCTATCGGGACTGATGAAATCATACGCATTAGGAATTTAGTTATGATTAGAAGCAGACAACTGAGAACTGTGGGTGAGTGTTCACATGACGTGCACATGCAAAGAAAGAAGCAGTTGCTCCCGTGAAGGTGGATTATGAAGGTGTAAAAATCTATGGACCCGCTGCTTTGGAAATCAGTATGGCAATTTCTCAGAAAATTAGGAAACAATCTAAGATCCAGCAATACCACTTTGGGGTATATACCCAAAGGATGCTCAATCCTACCACAAGGACATGTGGTCAACTATGTTCATAGTAGCATTGTTTGTCATAGCCAGAACGTGGAAACTACCTAGATGCCCCTCAACTGAAGAATGGATAAGGAAAAGGTGGTACATTTACACAATGGAGTATCACACAGTGATAAAAAATAATGACATCTTGAAATTTGCAGGCAAATGATGGATCTAGAAAAGAGCATATTGAGTGAGGTAACCCAGACCCAGAAAGACAAAAAAACAGTGGGAAAGGACAGTCACATCTGAATGTGACTCTCAAATATGTGATGTAAGGCACCTGTCATGGAGAACAGTTTGCATATTTGTTTACACACATGGTGTTGCTTTTACTGGTTAATGAATAAAGAACTGGCTTGACCTATAGCATGGGAGGAGGAAGGCAGAGTTAGTGAGAAGCCTTGGAGCCACCACGTGAGAAGGAAGCTGAGAACTTTAGCCGATAAGCCACAGCCACGTGGTGGTACACAGATTAATGGAAATGGGTTAAATTAAGATGTAAGAGTTAGCCAATAAGAAGCTAGAGCTAATGTGCCAAGCAGTGATTTAAATAATATGGTTTCTGTGTGATTATTTTGGGTCTAAGCTAGAAAGAACAAGCAGCCTCCCTGCAACACACACACACACACACACACACACACACACGCACGCACGCGTACACACATTTTGTGTTTAGTATAACTGCCACATGAGCAAACATAAGAAGTTCCATGCAGAAACACACACTTTATGTTTCTTTTCTTTTTTTTTTTTTTTTTTTTTTTTTGGTTTTTCGAGACAGGGTTTCTCTGTGGCTTTGGAGCCTGTCCTGGAACTAGCTCTGTAGACCAGGCTGGTCTCGAACTCACAGAGATCCGCCTGCCTCTGCCTTCCGAGTGCTGGGATTAAAGGCGTGCGCCACCATCGCCTGGCTCAAGAATTTCTTATTTTGACTTTTGAAGTAAAAAATGTTCCCTTAGATCTATGCAGAAGAGGAGGCAGAAAGATTGCTAAGAGCCAGAGGTGATGAATGACTTCCAGACACAGCAGGATGCTTGCACACATGAAGTCACGGAGAAGGTGGCAGCACACACACATTCTGCAAGGGTTAAGTCAGATGGGGTCCCAGCAACGAGGGAGGAATGCACACGTGCTCTCACCCTAACCAAGAAGCTATCTGCATTCAATACCCACTGAAAAAGGAAACAACAATTTGATTCCAATGAAGTCTCAGTAGGTCTATTAACCACACTTCAGGGCAGGCACTATGCCTAAGAGTAGCTGTCCAATAAATATGAACTCAGTATTTTTTGTAGACTTTTTGTCTCATTTTGCCTGTTTGGGCATTTTTTTTTGTATTTTGTATTATTTATTTTTTATTTTTGTGTATGTTTCTATTTTGTTTTTTTTTTTTGTTGTTGTTGTTGACTTTTTAAGGGGAGAGAGAGGAGGGAGGAAAATCAAGTTGGACGGGTAGGGAGTTGGGGAGGTTCTAAGAGGAATTTGGGAGGAGAAAAAAAATAAACAATATGATGTATAATATTTTTCAACATAAAAGGTTTCAAAAATCTCCCCTTAAAGTTGTAACTTTTTGTACTGAAGGACAGGAATCTGCTTGGTTACTCTTAGAGCCTTAGGGAAGAGCTGGCTATGTGGGTAGAGCTTGCAAGACTAGGACCTGTGAGGCTGAGGCAGCTGAACTTCAAGCTTCAGGTCAGCCTGGGCTTTGCAGTTAGACCTCATTTC